ATATTAATGACTCCGGTCTTTCTTTACAAATACTTTGACTGCATGAGGCCTTTGCCAGTTTCATAAACAAAAAAAATGCCAGTTTCTGGTGGAAAAACAATACCTAGTTTAAGCAAGTAATATGCATATATAATGATGTGTTTAAACTAATTTTCAGTTATTGCAATCCACGTTACGACTTCCCTACGCAAGATCAGAGCTTAGAAATGGCTTTACAGATTTTGAAACAGAAGAAGACGAACTTGGAGAGTGCCGGGAAAAAGTTTTCATCTGTGCTTATCGTGTGCGGCACTTATACGATAGGTGAATGTTGAAAAACTTCATTTTAACTACTCTATAATTAAATAATGACATTGATTGATTTGTGACGTGGTTTAAATAGATATGTAAATATATTTATTTATACAACTATATGTAACTATACTTGAGACCTTAGAACTTACATCTGAAGGTGGGTGGCGCATTTACTTTGTGGATGTCTATGGGCTCCAATAACCATTTAACACCAGCTGTGAGCTCGTCCACCCATCTAAGCAATAAAGATAAATAAATAAAAAGAGTGATAAAAATGAAAGTGGCACTAGTGGGCGAACTCACGGGGCTTATCCTTAACGTACTTTCTATAATCCCCCAGAAAGAGCAGGGTATAGGTGAATCGTTCACCGCATCGGAATTTCCACTCACTGTGAAGATCCAGGAAGAAACTCAGTGGATTATTCTTAGGATGTCTTACAATGGTCCGTACCGCGGTTCTTACTGGCCGAGCCCACAGTTTCTCGCCGGATTTTCTCAGTGGGTCGCGTTTCCGATCCGGTGGTAGATTCTGTGAAGCACTGCTCTTAGTGTGAAGCTAGAAGTGTTAGCAACACTCCCGGTTTGAGCCCCGTGAGCTCGGTGAATCTAGAATAATCCCTCGAGATTACTAGAAGGAAAAAAAAATCGGTGTCGTTGGTCATGGCGTTCTCAGAGTGACACTTCGAGTCGGATTGTAATGTTGACTGCGGAAACCCCCCCTACTCTACCTGGGTTGTGGCACCAAACGGTGTAATCATTGTTATAGTAACTATGGACCCTACTCTGGTGGCGGGTGGTGTGATGATCTATATATATATAAAAATGAATTGCTGTTCGTTAGACACGCTAAAACTCGAGAACGATTTGGCTAATTTTGGTCTTGAATTATTTGTGGAAGTTCAGAGAAGGTTTAAAAGGTAGATAAATATGAAAATGCTCGGAATTAAATAAAAATAACAATTTTGTTTTGCCTTTGATGTGTCCTCCGTCGGACGGATCCCTTTTGTTTGTTTTAAGTTTATTTTATACAAAAGTTTAGGTCTTTTATTTATCGATCGAGGCACTACGAAGTCTGTCGGGTCAGCTAGTAACATAGAAATATAAAGGCTTCATCTCGAACAATTCCACAGAAAACTGTACTTCCTCTGTAGATCCCTCAGTTCCGGTTATACTATATAGTTTACAGGTTTAGGGCGAAGTTTTCTCATAAAATCTTTATTTTTTTTAAGGTAAAGAAAAGTTTTTCCTCGGTATCGCTCGTCGCGTCGGCTGTGCGGTCTGGGCGTGTCCCGAAAAAGACAGGATCTTAAAAGTCGTCGAGGGACAAAGCTTCTCCCATTCGCCTCCGCAATCTTGCCAGCTACATGTGGTGCCCATGAGGGATCTTACGCATGAGGTAAGCAACAGCATATCATATGTATAATGGTATATAGTTGATTTTGAGAAATTCGTTGAGTCCCAATTGTTTGAGTCTTAGATGGGTATGGCATGTGACTCGTAATATCTCAATCAGTCTTTTCCTTCAGTTCTACCTCGTCTATACGGAGTTATAATATTAATACGCTTTTATTAGCTTCAGACGTATGTGTGTTAGTATGTAACGGAATCTTTGAACATGATTTTGACCCCCTTCAAAAGGTTGGATTAACTCGAAATTTGGTGTGACCAATGACAAATCAATATTTAAAAAAATTGAAAAGAAAAAATTTAAGTAAAAAAAAGCGAGGGGTGTATGGTATCAGTAGTTATAAATATTTTATAAACAGATATGAGTAGAAGGGTTATTTTGATAATATCCTAAAAAGCACCCCACGCTTTTTTTACAATAAAATCATTTTTTCTTACACTATTTTTAATTCAAATTTATGTTCTATTTTTTAGTTGGATTTTCTATAAAAGCGTATTTGGTAGTTTTTTTTAACTCTTTTTTTTTTTTTTAAATTAACACTCATAACTGATGCATCTTTTGCGATAGTCTAGCACGACTGGGCATTATAGTTTAAAGATTTAGAATAGGTACATCGAGTTTTTTGTTTCCCAGAAATTACGGAGTTATCTGGACAGCCTCAAAGGTACATTCAGTGAGGTCGTGGCCTTCAAACCCAGTGGATGGGAAAACGGAAAGAATTCGTGCGTTGAAAAGGACCTTGTCACTATACACGGTACACGCTTAGCTACATAATAATATTATGTACTTTATAATGTTTTGTATATTTCACTATGTGGGAATCTGTCTGTATATATAAAAATGAATTGCTGTTCGTTAGTCTCGCTAAAACTCGAGAACGGCTGTACCGATTTGGCTAATTTGGTCTTAAACGGTAGACAAATGTGAAAATGCTCGGAAATTAAATAAAAATAACAATTTTGTTTTCCCTTTGATGTGGCCTCCGTCGGACGGATTCCTTTTGTTTGTTTTAAGTTTATTTTATACAAAAGTTTAGGTCTTTTATTTCTCGATTGAGGCACTACGAAGTCTGCCGGGTCAACTAGTGTTAAATAAAGATTGGAAGATGAAGTGGCCAGAGCTGTATACTCATTAATGACTTGATATACATTTTTCAAGTAAAATACATTATATCATATATTATACAGGGTGTAAAAAATCATCCTGAGTTTTTTTATACTTATCGGTTGATTTAGTATTGATTGTGATGTCAAAAAATTCTGTGCAGCTCACACAGAATGATCATTGTTCTATACTCTTCGTATACACTGTGTGACTTATAATATTTTGTATTCAAGCTTAACAATATGAACCTTAATTTTTTTTCTTGCAGGTATTCCATATAGTGAACATTCGAGTTTTTCAGAATTGATAAGATTTATAAAATTTTTGAAACCGAAACAAGTCGTGCCCACTGTTGATATATCTGGCGGGGTCAAAGCTGTTCAGGTACATGCGTTCTTATGATATCTAAAATCACTATTTTACTGTTGACATTGTCAAGGACATGCCGGTGGTAGGACCTCTTGTGAGTCCGCGCGGGTAGGTACCACCACCCTGCCTATTTCTGACGTGAAGCAGTAATGCTTTTCGGTTTGAAGAGTGGGGCAGCCGTTGTAACTATGCTTGAGACCTTAGAAATTATATCTCAAGGCGGGTTTCATTTTTATTACACGATGTTATTCCTTCACCATGGAAATCAATCGTGAACATTTGTTGAGTACGTATTTCATTAGAAAAATTGGTACCCGCCTGAGATTCGAACACCGGTGCATCGTTCAACACGAATGCACCGGACGTCTTATCTGTTAGGCCACGACGACTTCAAAAGAGATGCCTTTTTCAAATTTACCTTTGATTTACTTTTCTATTGCTTTCAGAAATACTTTCCCTGTCCTCTGGTTAGCAAGGACGACGTAGCCGTCCAGAGCAAAGTTACAGATTACTTTAGTTTACAAAATCGACAGCAGGTCCCGGCTGTAACCTGAATTTGCATGATCTCAAAGTAAGTTTTTGATCAAATATCACTACATAGTATAAAACAAAGTCGCTTTCTCTGTCCCTATATCTGTTTGTCCCTATGTATGCTTAAATCTTTAAAACTACGCAACGGATTTTGATGCGGTTTTTTTTAATAGATAGTGATTAAAGAGGAAGGTTTATATGTATAATAACATCCATTAAATAGTGGAGAAATCAATAATAAATTACAGCTTCCGAAGCGAAGCAAGGGCGGGTCGCTAGTTTGTATAATAAACATTTCTCTACAGGAAACTACCATGAACATTAAAATCGGCGGATTTCTAAAATCAAACAATTTCTAATAAAAATGTTCTTTAATATAGAGCTGTTTCTAGTTTTTGCACATGCTAATTAATTATATTCTTTTTGGAGCTGTTTACACAAAAAATTTTTGGTTGATTAAAAACCGATAGACTGTGGTTTGATCCCGAGGCATGTAATATTTTATGTGTTCACAAACAACATCCATAAAGAATAACATGTTTAAGAAATGAAAATGAAAAACTTGCTTTTAGACAAATAATCGAACTCACGGCCCATTATTTTTATTGTCCTTGTAGGCAGACGAGCATAATATGGCTAACCTGATGAGTGATTACTTTTTGAGTGGTTACTGGAGCCCACGATAAATGTAAATGAATATGCAATTACGAAAAGGGCACATGTCACATATTTTGTCAAATACGTTTTTTCATATACATGTAGTTTTGAGGCTTAATTTGAGGCTTTGGGTGTAGACCCATTTTATAATAATTTCAGTATTTTTCAATTGCTAATTAACGCTAAAATATATCTCAAAAGTTAATATTTTAAATTTTACACTGCTTTAGGAAATAATAATCAGTTTTTTTTCATTTCCTGAACATTTTACATTTTCAGAGATGTGCCTTTTTCGAAATTGCATATTCTAAATGTTGCATTGACACTTGAGTTCTGTATCTCAATTTTATAGTGCAATGTCTGTCCTTATAATCAGAGCGCATTACTGCTTCACAGTATCAATAGTAATGGTTCATGTTTCAAGTGTGTATTTTTAAATCAGTAAACTTATTTTTGAATTTAATTCAGTAAATTTCGTTTTTGTTACAGGTTTTTAAAGATGTTTAAGCTGCCATATACTGTGATGTATTTTTGATATTGTTATATTTTAGGTTAATTTTATGAACTGTTTTATTTATTTTGTAATAAAATTTGTCATTTTTACTGGTTTTCTTTTTTGTGGTCGTTACACAATGGCATCTTCATAATTAACAAATTTTACTACTACCCACATTAACTCTGGAATTGTGGTTATCGATAGAAAATTAAGTTGGGGTTAAACTAAAATATATTAATTAGTGGTTCCAATGGGTGATCACAATTGTGAGCTCCGGAGCAGGTCAGCATCCGCGTTAGAATCTCTCTGTACCAGTACTTCACCGCCGGAAACACGTGATTCACAATGTTCTCCAATTCGTAAGGATCGTCTGCTATGTTGTACATTTCACTGAAGTTCTGTAAATACAAGTAGTTTATTTGAATATTGAATTTGGTAAAATTGTACTAATTTATTCATCTATATATTAATACGTGAAGAGAATATAGTGGAGTGCACTATGCTAATATTTTTTTATAAATAATGCATAAAAGAGACATTAAATCAATAAAAAAAACATTACACTGCCATGTATTTGACACACACACATATGTATATATACTCTTTGTTTATTGTCAAACTTTAGTTAATGCTTAAAGTCTGTGGTCAAATTGAAAATAGGTTAATATTGTTTATCTTTAATATTATTGGTCTACAGTGTTGTCTTGGCGAAATCTGTGATTATAGAAGTATAATAGTCTGACAATATAACCATAATAATGTTCAAACTTATAATTTCAATTAATTATAGTCGAATTTCGACTACTGCGGGACCACTACTTAATTTAGATTCCTCACCTCATTGTCAGCGAAGAGGCAATATTTCTTGTCGATTCGCTCCGCGATGTGTCTGATACAGGCGTATGTATTGTTTTTGGCGTCTTGACACTTGCAACTGTACTGAGGATAGCATTGCTGTAAGGGAAGAAAAGAATCTTTTCAACATCAAACAATTAGTCTTGTAATGTTGGCCTAGAAGAGCACCACCTTATCCCTTCCTGAAGATGTAGAAGACGATTAAGAGAATCACCAGAGAATGGGCAACAGCGTTCTTCGAGTATCACATACGACACATCGGCGTGTTTTTTTTTATTGCTTCGATGGGTAAACGAGCTCACAGCCCACCTGGTGTTAAGTGGTTATTGAAGCCCATAGACATCTACAACGTACTTGCGCCACCTATCTAAGTTCTAAGTTCTCAGTATAGTTACAACGGCTGCCCCACCCTTCAAACCGAAACGCATTACTGCTTCACGACAGAAATAGGCAGGGCGGTGGTACCTACCCGCGCGGACTCACAAGAGGTCCTACCACCACCAGTAAAATATAAGGAATATGAAAAGTTTCCTACTTACAGCGAGATTACCGCTATCATACTTCCAAGGACATTCTTTATCCACAGATCCGTCCTTGCCTTCGCCGTAGTATTCAATTAGCATGTTCCTCTCGCCTATGTCCTCGTTGTGAACATCGATGGGCCTTCCGTCCACGTTGTTCGGTATGTCCAAGCCGGCCAGTTTGATTATAGTCGGCGCCAAATCAATATTTAACACCGGCTGTCGGTTTTCCACGTTCTTTTTCAGTCCTGGCCCTTTTATTAGTAAAGGAACTTTGATGTCAGTTTCGTAAGGTTGACGTTTGTCGTAAACTTGAGAGTTTTGACCTGGAATGATAATTGATTTTTATACAATATCTTTTATTTTTATTTTTTTATTGCTTAGATTTGTGGACGAGCTCACAGCCCACCTGATCTTAAGTGGTAACTGGAACCCATAGACATCTACAACGTAAATGCGCCACACACCATGAGATATAGTTCTAAGGTCTCAGTATAGTCACAACGGCTGCCTCACCCTTCAATTTGAAACGCATTACTGCTTCACGGCAGAAATAGGCGAGGCGGTCGTGCGGGCTCACAAGAGGCTCCTACCACCAGTAAAAATCTATAATAGGCAAAGACGAAACAGTTGAGTTACTATTGAAGTGAAACTTCTTTACCATCGTTGTGATTTCAAACTCGATGAAACGAAAAAATAAGTCCATAGAGACACAAACACATGGATGTATAGGATTCAGCCGGCGAGAGAATGAGATAGAACNATAGGCGAGGCGGTCGTGCGGGCTCACAAGAGGCTCCTACCACCAGTAAAAATCTATAATAGGCAAAGACGAAACAGTTGAGTTACTATTGAAGTGAAACTTCTTTACCATCGTTGTGATTTCAAACTCGATGAAACGAAAAAATAAGTCCATAGAGACACAAACACATGGATGTATAGGATTCAGCCGGCGAGAGAATGAGATAGAACACATTAGACGTTCTCAGTGCAGTTTTTTTTTAATACAGCGCCATCTATAAATTTTTTTAATACTAAAATGTGTATGAAACCTCTTGTAGTCAATTTTAATTTAGGATTATACGTGAAGTTAAAATATCAATTCACAGGGTGTCCCAAAAAAAGGGTGTGAAGCCGTGTGTGGAACAATATAGATCACGTGACAATATAAAAAAATTCAGCTTGTAATTAATAGTTTCATAAACATAAACAATTTTTTTTTATTGCTTAGATGGGTGGACGAGCTCACAGCCCACCTGGTGTTAAGTGGTTACTGGAGCCCATAGACATTCACAACGTAAATGCGTCACCCACCACGAGACAAGTTCTAAGGTCTCAGTATAGTCACAACGGCTGCCTCACCCTTCAATTTGAAACGCATTACTGCTTCACGGCAGAAATAGGCGGAGCGGTGGTACCTACCCGGGCGGGCTCACAAGAGGTCTTACCACCAGTAAAAATCTATAATAGGCAAAGACGAAACAGTTGAGTTACTATTGAAGTGAAACTTCTTTAGAATCGTTACGATTTCAAACTCCATGAAACGAAAAAATAAGTCCATAGAGACACAAACACATAAATGTATCGGATTCAGCCGGCGAGAGAATGAGATAGAACGCATTGGACGTTCTCAGTGCAGTTTTTTATAATACAGCGCCATCTATAAGTTTTTTTTAATACTAAAATGTGTATGAAACCTCTTGTAGTTAATTTTAATTTAGGATTATACGTGAAGTTAAAATATCATTTCACAGAGATTTACAATTATTTACTAATGATAAAATTTTACATATATTTAGACATTTAGGATAATTGAATTTTAATTTTTGAAGGTTTCACTTCTACCACGTGTGAATTGCATACATGTTTTTTTTTACTCGATTTGCCAATCGATTCTTTTTATCGTTTACTAGACATTGAAAAGGTTTAGTGTTATCAATATATCAATACACAGGGTGTCCCAAAAAAAAGTGTGTGAAGCCGTGCGTGGAACAATGTAGATCACGTGACAATATAAAAAAATTCAGCTTGTAATTAATAGTTTCATAAACATTAACAATTTTTTTTTTATTGCTTAGATGGGTGGACGAGCTCACAGCCCACCTGGTGTTAAGTGGTTACTGGAGCCCATAGACATTCACAACGTAAATGCGTCACCCACCACGAGACAAGTTCTAAGGTCTCAAGTATAGTTACAGCGGCTGCTCCACCCTTCAAACCGAAACGCATTACTGCTTCACGGCAGAAATAGGCATAATTTATTAATTTTTTCTACCGTTCGATGATATCCTTGAGACATTCAACAAGTGCGTTATGCTGACATCCAAGCTGAAATAAATTATCAAAAAAAATACCATTTCAGCCCTCGAATATGATACTCACCGATATGGTAACCGTTATCAGAAGTGAACACTACGTATGTGTTATCCAGGAGCGCTTGAGTTTCCAAAGCGCCTATGATGTCGGCGACCATCTCATCGACCGAGAGCAGAGTTTCCCATCGGGTCCTGTATACTTGGTCGAGCTCGGGAAGCATCGCGTCAGGCAATGGCGACGGAGGCATGCGGAGCAGCCAATGCTTATCCTGACATGTATGAAGACTACTGAATTACCCGCAAAATTATAATTTGCGTAATTACTGGTGCAAGGGCGGATCCAGCTTTGGCGCCAGGAGGGGGTCACATAGTCGTGGGCAAGTTAAGAACTTATAATTTAATTTTGATAACAATAGATAATAAATAAATCATGATGTTCTTCAATTAGTCCAAGTTAGTTCAAGTCCTGGAACTAGCTCAGGGGGGGTCATGACCTCCATGACCCCCTCCTGGATCCGCCGTTGTTACTGGTGGTAGGACCTCTTGTGAGTCCGCGCGGGTAGGTACCACCGCCCTGCCTATTTCTGCCGTGAAGCAGTAATGCGTTTCGGTATGAAGGGCGGGGCAGCCGTTGTACTGTTACAAATGGATCTTAGAACTTATATCTCAAGGTGGGTGGCGGCATTTAAGTTGTATATGTCTATGGGCTCTGATAACCACATAACACCAGGTGGGCTGTGAGCTCCTCCACCCATCTATGCAATAAAAATAAAAAATAAATCTTGAATACACTCACACTGAGGATCGAAACTAAAGCGAAATATACAAACTAAAATTCCATTCAAGCTGACATATCTCGGGCCTAAAATAAGCTAATAAAATATCGAAAAAAAAACACAATAATTAGGCAGTGGCGGCATCACTCGTTGTAATTCGTTTTAAAGGGTTAGAACAATTACGTTTCACTTATAAATGGATTTCTAAAATCCTCTGAAATTAACACCCCTATTGTGTTATGATGATATTCTAGATATCTCATACGTACCTCGGCGATGATATTGAAATTGGGACTCTTTACGACTGTCACGTTATTGAACGCGTCTTTGTGTCGAGGGGCGGGGGTGAAGGGCTGGTGCGGGGCGGGGGGAGCGAGCACCATCAGAAAGGGCTTCGATTCCGTCTGATTCTCTATGTAGCTGACTCCCAGTTCACGCTGTTAAACAAAACGACAAAGTTTAGGCCCGATTAGGTAATTGTTTTAGGAATAATAATAATCGAAAATGTAATTTACAAAGGGGAAAAGCCCACTCTCCATAGTGTGCTGGACCCAAGATGGACATCAAATATTACTATAAAAATGGACTGTTTCAAATTCTTAAATGTATTGGATATCTAAAAAATATATTGAAATTGACGCCACTATTATAAAAAATTAATAAAAATAAAAAATAGTTTTGAGGTTAATTTTCTATCGGATTGTGAGATACTTAAAGAACTTTTATTTTCTTAATGTTAAATTTATTAATTATAAGAGAGATGTTCCTAATGTATTTTTATCCAATCTCGGTTAGGTTAAAACCCCAATTCACACAATGGTTTTTAGTTGTAGTATGAAACGTTATTGATCGGTATCCGTAATCGAATGTAGCTGTGATCCTTAACTCCTGAGCCAAAATCGTCGTCGCAAGCGCAAACGTAAGCGCAAGCAGCAAGCAAAGTGTCAGTCAGTCAGATTAAATTCAGTGTTGTCAGTATAACGAAAAATAATTACATTAAATTGATATATCGATTATTTTTTTAAATAACTGATAGTTGATTTATTTTTCTTAATCTTTTTTTTACGAGTAACATTATTATGTTTATTTATTGTTATATTATTATTTTATGTTTTTGTTTTAGTTGTACATATTTAAATAACAATACTAGTAAAGTTTTTTTTATTGCTTAGATGGGTGGACGAGCTCACAGCCAACCTGGTGTTAAGTGGTTAACTTAGCCATAGACATCTACAACGTAAATGCGCCACCCACCTTGAGATATAAGTTCTAAGGTCTCAAGTATAGTTACAAGTTAAAGTCCAATGGGTATGTCTTTGATGTTATTTTATGTGCTTATAATCGATTAAAATCGATTTATTAACTCATGAATATAATATAAAACATATAAATAAAACATTTTAAGTATTCTTAAATACTGAAAATGTTTTATTTATATACTTAAAATGTTTACTTAATACGTAAAAGGTTTTGACGCTGGCAATATTTTTCCCGCAAAAATCATAAACCTGGTTTTTTCAATAGAGTTACTTTTTTAAACTACTTATTGTAAACTTTAGTGGCGCTCGTTTGGAAGACAGTAAACGCATATTTATTTATGACAAAATTAATGCACTAAGTATTTTTTCCTAATCTATTGTCCGCTTTGGGCCTGAAATGGGCATTCCCCTTCATCATCTACATATTATTATTGTTCCTAACTGATTAATATTATTGATAACTAGCTGCCATTATGTTGTTTTTGCAATGCTTTGATAGTCGACACGACATGTTTAGAATTTTCCAAAACATTTTCGATAGTTGCGACCCACTGAGAAGATCCGGCGAGAAACTCAGTGGGCTGTGTCTATGGGTTAATTCGCTCGTCGAGCCCTTGGTCGCAAGCAACGGGTTCGACGAGGACGGTGACCGGTGCTTGTGGTGCCTAAAATCACCGATAATGGATCGGGAGGATCCGTAATGACGTACTTTGGGCGACGTCGACTGTTTACCATTCGGTCTACAGGATCGGGTGACCGATAGTAGTACTAGGCGTTTCATTCGTTTTTGCTATTTGTCGACAGCTGGCTTTACTCGTACTGGCTTAACATTATTATTTGTTTTAGCTCAATACCAATAACATTGAAGTTAATTTTATTATGTTACTGTCACTACTTTAATTAAGTAAATATATGTATACTAATCATATTTTTCATACTACAATGTAATGAAACGGCGGCGTAACCAAATATTTACACACAAAAAGACAGGTACGTATGTGCATAATATATTATTATGTATGTGAACACCTTGATAAATGACATTTTTTTTCGTTCATTTTAGCATTTTGCTATTTGGGTTCGTGAATAAAATATTTACAATGTATAAATATGTATGCACTCGTATTATCTATATATTAATACGTGAAGCAAAAACTTTGTATCCCTTTTTACGAAAATTGCGCGGACGGAGGAGTATGAAATTTTCTACACTTATAAAGAATATAGAGAAGAAGTGCACAATGCTAATTTTTTTTTATATAATGTATAAAAGATACATTAAATCAATAAAGAAAACATTACACACACTAACATGTATTTGACACACACACATATAATCTTTGTTTATAGTCAAACTTTTGTTATTGCTTAAAGTCCGTAGTCAAATTGAGAATAGGTTAGTATTGTTTATCTTTAATATTAGGAGTATTTGTCTATAGTGTAGTCTTGGCGAAATCTGTAACAATAGGACCATAATAATGTTGAAACTTATAATTTCAATTAATTATAGTCGAATTTCGACTACTGCGGGACCTCTAGTTTTATAAAAATGACAAAACTCACTATCACATCGGTTAAGTAGCTATTAGTCGAAAACGTCGGCACACCGTTGTTGGACAAAGTATAGTTGTAGTAAACTGAATTCCCGACCAAGCCGCGCCATTCTGTCCAGCCCGGGGGTACCACCTCTGGGCCACCGGCTTCTTTAGTACCATACTGAAAATTAAAACCATTATTTTCCGACAGATTCATTCTTGTTAAACCTCGAGATGTGTACGAGGTCACGGCTTATCTGATGTTAAGTGGTTACCCGAAATCATTGACGTCACAACGTGAAAATGATTGGCTGTCAGCGATGAGTGACGATAACCACTATCTAATTATTATTTTTTAGACTTTTTATGACCTGGTAACAGAGACCTTTAAGTCATGTCTTATTTTAATTTATATTATTCATATTTTTATGAAAAATGATATTATAGAGTGAAATGAAATGAAGATGATTAATTTGAGACACTAATCAACTGGGATAAAATTAAATGAAATGAATTGAGATGATATGGGATGAAATATAATCTCAGTAAAATGGTGGTCTTTACTAAGATTTTTTCAGTGGACTTTTTGGAGGATCCCGAGAAGTTACGTCCAGCGGCTTTGTTTAATTTTCCCACATTTGTGCACTTTCACAGATATTAAACAGTTAATAAACCACCTTTATTACACATTTAAACCCGAAGAAACACTAAATAGACAAAATAAAACAAATCACACAACTTCACTCCTCGCGTTCCCGCCAAAAAGTCCCACTATCTAATAGTTAGTTTTTTGTGTAGACCCAAACTAGAGATTTCCCTTAAAAACAAAATCTGTATATATAAAAATGAATTGCTGTTCGTTAGTCTCGCTAAAACTCGAGAACGGAAGGACCGATTTGGCTAATATTGGTCTTGAATTATTCGTGGAAGTCCAGAGAAGGTTTAAAAGGTAGATAAATATGCTAAAAGCTCGGAATTAAATAAAAATAACAATTTTGTTTTTCCTTTGATGTATCCAACGACGGACGGATTCCTTTTGTTTGTTTTAGGTTTATTTTATTTATATCGATTGAATCACTACGAAGTTTGCCGGGTCAGCTAGTGGTGAATGAAAAATTTACCTGATTCAAATATTTCCCCGCATAGAACGTGTCATATCCGGCTTCCTGAAGTATAGTAGCGAACGTCTGTTTCTCGTGATATTTCCAGTTCTCTCCATAGCATCCGCCGTGAAGACTATTGTTCACGGTCTTGTGGTTGTGAACGTACATGCCTGTCAGCAAACTGGCTCGACTTGGACAGCATATCGGTGACGTCACATACTGTGATAAACGACGTGACCTTTAATAGTTGTCGCCTAAGATCTCACTAGTAGTTACACTTAAGATATCACTAGTAGTTACACTTAAGATATCACTAAGAGTTGCACTTAAGATATCACTAGAAGTTGCACCAACATATCACTAAAAGCTGTAACCTGTAGACAGCTTACGAGTTTCAACTGCCAACATGTCATCATCATCATCATCTCAGCCACTCTCCACTCCTAAACATAGGCCTGTCCACTTAATGTCCAGTGCGGCCGGCACCTGCATCCAACGCGACCCAGCGATATCCAACATGTAATGTCTAGTAATTTTGACGCACTTCCTATTTTTATAAAGATGAATCAATAATATTGGCAACTCAAAGTGATTTTTTAATTTATATTCATGTTTGAATGAACTCAGAGCCTGTATGGTATAAGCGTGCAACTAAGTCCATAGATATGCGATAGAACGCGATAGAACGCGAATGTCATCACCTTTTTTCGCCCCTACCTATGCTGATAGCCTTGAGAAGGTATTTCAGCTTCACCCTAACGTGTAGGTGAGCTCACGGGGCTCAAACGGGAGGGTTGCTAACACTGGCCCTGACAAGAGCAGTGCTTCGCAGAATCTACCACCGGATCGGAAACGCGACTCACTGAGAAGATCCGGCGAGAAACTCAGTGGGCTGTGTCTATGGGTTAATTCACTCGTAGAGACCTTCGTCGCAAGCGACGTGTTTGACGAGGACGGTGACCGGTGCTTGTGGTACCCAATAGCACCGTTAATTGATCGGGAGGATTCGTAATGAAGTGTTTAGGGCGGCGTCGACAGTCATCACCCATCTAGTTCCCTAACATTGAAATCACAATTTTTTATTGTTATTAGCTGTTCAACTGTCAAACCGGAACGTATGACTGATTCGCGGCAAAAATAGGCAGAATGGTGGTATCTACATCTAGTCGTCCCACAGTGGGTCGATACTATGATTTTAGTGACTTAGGCACCAACTTTGTTTTTTTACATTTTTCTTTACGTAGATAGATAGAGCTCGTTAATCTAAATAATAATTGTTTTAGGCAAAAATTACAAAAACTTTATAGTTTGGTCAGAAAAATGTGTTTTGTGATTTTTTTGTATGGAGCGGGTCACATTAAATTAAATTCCTGTTAAGTACCGCGAGGTCCCGCTTTGAAACTTTATTTTCCTTACACCTTGTCTAGTCTACTATCATTTGATGCTATGAACATGTGCATAAAGTTGCAACTCTGCCAAATAAATGGATCGAAAAAAATGAATAAATACATAGAATAAAAACCTTTATATTTTTTTTCGTAAGTGATTTTAAGTTAAATTTGATATGGATTAGTAAGTAAAAGCACGTAATGATACACATAATTACATAATACCTAACAACAATACATTTAGTAGGTCTCTAATTAAGCAATCTCTCTAAGTTTTATATATTTTGTTTCACCATTCGATCTTTGGACCAGAAGACAAAAGAAGATTGTGTAAAATATCCTCATTAGTCGACGTTCTACTTATTTTTCTAGAAGAACAACTCTCTGTATATTTCCGAAAAACTTCATTGAGAGCTTCCGCTGCCTCTTTCGAGAGCTTACCTATTCGAATGGCACCAAAGTTCTTCATTATTGTATATCACCGCCATGAGCCAACAATTTATGGATACTGGGAGGCATATAATACCAGGGATATAAATTAACATACAATTCTGCAGTATATCTACAAAATTCGGAAAAATTGGAAAGGTCCACGCGCTCTCCAGACGCAACAGTCTGAAGAATCACGTGAAACCTCTCTATTCAATCTTTACGTATTCCTGTTATACGGGCTGTTCCTTCTGCATCCCTGAAAAATCTTCTGGCAGTATTGCCATCATTGGTTGTTCCTACTTCTTGCTTGACAACATCTATAAGTAAACCGCATTGTTTTTTAAACGCTTGCTGTATAGCGCTCTTTCTGATTGATATTTTTTCTTTGTCATCCCCCCTTGCAACCTCATTTCTTGAAGTCCAAACGATAAGACGCAAACAAAAATGTGTCATATAAAAAATAATCTCACAGGAAACTACATACGATGAAAAAATTGTGAAGTAATAAAATTATATTTACCGATATGAAGTAAGCACTCCATGCATCTTATCCAGGCATGTAAAGATGGCATTCCATACTGGAATTATTTTCATTTTAATTATTTTATTATTTTCTCTTTGACAAGCAAGTGTCTCCAAAAAACTCTGACAGTTTTGCTTTGCAAATATCACAGACAGCAGAAAATGTTTCTGACAAATATGAGGTTATTTTGCCGTCTATCATCGTCAAGTGCAATTGATGATTCACTTCAACTTGTTTGATTTTTGATGGCTGAAGTCTTTCTATTTCTTCTGTTATGCTAGATTTTATAATTGCCACTGTTGACTGCGTTTCTTTTGTAAATTTAAACATTATTGGACGGCAATAAAAAGTTGATTAGGGTAGATCGTTTTCCCAAACAACTGTTCCATCAAATTTCTGAAGCCTTATAGGAACTAGACTGACCATGAAAATAGATGAATCATCAAACTCTGTTTCAGTTTTCTGTTTATAATTACTTTGACCTGGGGCTCTATCAAAGCCTATTTGCTTATAAGCAGTAGCTCTCTTGCTGAGTCCAAATCCGAAGTAACACATCTAAAAGCCTATATAGCGCCAAGTTTAGTAATGCTTGCATTTTAATAGCAGCTCCTTCTTCAGTAATAATTAGCTCGTCTTTCCCTGGATAACATTTGGTCTTTTCTTGCTTAATTTTATATTAAGAAGGGTATAAATCAGACCCATTTTCACTTGCTGCTTCTCTTAGGTTTATATACTGCCACTTACTTAATTTAAGTGAAACTAATAGTGCCTTATCGGGAGAATATGTAATACTTTTCACTTTACTTGTATTTAAACACTCCTTAACTTTTTCTAAATCTTCGGGGTGATTTGACAAGTGGTTCATTATTTCTCCTACATCTTCATTTCCAGTGTTTCTCAAACTAACAATTGTAGTAGCTTTCATTTCATCCGGGGATAACGAAAGCGATTGGTAAATTTGTTCAATGCGTCTTCGTTTTTGCCTGGATCCCAATTCTTCAAAAGGTTTTCGAGGTGTAAAAGTAGATGTCGAGGCTTCTGTAGTACATTTGAGGGTGGTACATTTTCAACATCTTCAGTATTAGAAATCTCGAGCCTTTCCTGTGCAGTGTTGATAGCTTCAGGTATCATTCCTTCGGGCCAGTTTATTGCACCTTCTAACCAATCACATTTTTTTCTTATAAACTGTACTAACATGCGACTACTTCGTTTTCATATTGCACTTATATTTGAACAAAAGTGCGTACAGAATTTTTGGAGCTCAATACTTTTCTCTTCGGTCACGTTTATTTGATTTTGTAGGAATTAAAAGAGTTTTTTATTATCAGACAGCGACTGTAGTTGCTCTCTTAAAATCATAAATAATTCTAAATTGTTAAGAAAATTATTCATTATAACGGAAAAAGGAAGATCACAACGACAATCACGAGATGTTAGTAGTAGTACGAATAAACGAACACTAGTTAGTATATAATAAACATGGTCACTTTATACTTCCAGAGACAAACAAATATTTACTATATTTTTTACTACCCAGTAATGGCTGCTTAACTAGTTATCCTCATTAAATAATGTTAACTATCCTAATAATTAGAGAGATTGCTTAATTAGAGACCTACTAAATGTATTGTTGTTAGGTATTATAAAAAAAAAAGGTATTATGTGATTATGGGTATCATTACGTGCTTTTACTTACTAATCCATATCAAATTTAACTTAAAAGCACTTACGAAAAAAAATATAAAGGTTTTTATTCTATGTATTTATTCATTTTTTTCGATCGATTTATTTGGCAGAGTTGCAACTTTATGCACATGTTCATAGCATCAAATGATAGTAGATTAGACAAGGTGTAAGGAAAATAAAGTTTCAAAGCGGGACCTCGCGGTACTTAGCAGGAATTTAATTTAATGTGACCCGCTCCATACAAAAAAATCACAAAACACATTTTTCTGACCAAACTATAAAGTTTTTGTAATTTTTGCCTAAAACAATTATTATTTAGATTAACGAGCTCTATCTATCTACATAAAGAAAAATGNTTACTTCCCATTAAAGTATAAATTCTACAAATAAATAATACTCAACAATATTTAAAATAAAATGAGCCAAGAACGTTTATCGATAAAACCTGATAACATTGAAATCTTTTGTACAGCACTAAAACCGCCATGTTTTGTGGTCAGATGACGTCACAGTGGCACGAATTTTTGGTTGACGTTTCATTTCCATAGGTTTCCTACTTCAGTGCGATAACCACTATCTAATTATTATTATTTAGACTTTTTATGACCTGGTAACAGAGACCTTTAAGTCATGTCTTATTTTAATTTATATTATTCATATTTTTATGAAAAATGATATTATGGAGTGAAATGAAATGAAATGAATTGAGATGATATGGGATGAAATATAATCTCAGTAAAATGGTGGTCATTTACCAAGATTTTTTCAGTGGACTTTTTGGAGGATCCCGAGAAGTTACGTCCAGCGGTTTTGTTTCATTTTCCCACATTTGTGCACTTTCACAGATATTAAACAGTTAATAAACCACCATTATTACACATTTAAACCCGAAGAAACACTAAATAGACAAAATAAAACAAATCACACAACTTCACTTCTCGCGTTACCGCCAAAAAGTCCCACTATCTAATAGTTAGTATTTTGTGTAGACCCAAACTAGAGATTTCCCTTAAAAACAAAATCTGTATATATAAAAATGAATTGCTGTTCGTTAGTCTCGCTAAAACTCGAGAACGGAAGGACCGATTTGGCTAATTTTGGTCTTGAATTATTCGTGGAAGTCCAGAGAAGGTTTAAAAGGTAGATAAATATGCTAAAAGCTCGGAATTAAATAAAAATAACAATTTGGTTTTTCCTTTGATGTATCCAACATCGGACGGATTCCTTTTGTTTGTTTTAGGTTTATTTTATTTATATCGATTGAATCACTACGAAGTTTTCTGGGTCAGCTAGTGGCGAATGAAAAATTTACCTGATTCAAATATTTCCCCGCATAGAACGTGTCATATCCGGCTTCCTGAAGTATAGTAGCGAACGTCTGTTTCTCGTGATCTTTCCAGTTCTCTCCATAGCATCCGCCGTGAAGACTATTGTTCACGGTCTTGTGGTTGTGAACGTACATGCCTGTCAGCAAACTGGCTCTGCTTGGACAGCATATCGGTGACGTCACGTACTGTGATAAACGACGTGACCTTTAATAGTTGTCGTCTAAGATCTCACTAGTAGTTACACTTAAGATATCACTAGTAGTTACACTTAAGATATCACTAGGAGTTGCACTTAAGATATCACTAGGAGTTGCACTTAAGATATCACTAGAAGTTGCACCAACATATCACTAAAAGCTGTAACCTGTAGACAGCTTACGAATTTCAACTGCCAACATGACATCATCATCATCTCAGCCTGACCACTTTCCACTGCTAAACATAGGCCTCTCCACTTAATGTCCAGTGCGGCCGGCCCGTTGACACCTGCATCAAACGCGACCCAGCGATGTCCAACATGCAATGTCTAGTAATTTTGACGCACTTCCTATATTTGTACAGATGAAACAGTTATTTGGCAACTCAAAGTGATTTTTTTATTTATATTCATATTTGAATGAACTCAGAGCCTATTTGGTATAAGCGTGCAACTAAGTCCATAGATATTACAATGCGAATGACATCACCTTTTTTTCCCCCTACCTATGCTGATAGCCTTGAGAGGCATTTCAGCTTCACCCTAACGTGTAGGTGAGCTCACGAGGCTCAAACCGGGAGAGTTGTTCACACTGGCCCTAGCAAGAGCAATGCTTTGTAGAATCTACCACCGGATCGGAAACGCATCCCACTGAGAAGATCCGGCGAGAAACTCAAAGGGCTATGTCTATGGGTTAATTCACTCGTCGACACATTCGTCGCAAGCGACGTGTTCGATGAGGACGGTGACCGGTGCTTGTGGTACCCAATAGCATCGTTAATTATCGGGAGGATTCGTAATGAAGTGTTTAGGTCGACGTCGACAGTCATCACCCATCTAGTTCTCTAACATTGAAATCACAATTTTTTATTGTTATCAGCTGTTCAACTGTCAAACCGGAACGTATGACTGATTCGCGGTAAAAATAGGCAGAATGGTGGTATCTACATATAGACGTCCGCGCTTACAATACGTCCCTCTACCAGTACTTAGTCAGCTTTAAACTTCAATAGGAATGTTTCACGACATATTAAATTTTTTTATTGAAAACGATTATTTTTTCTTTCGGCCAGTGTTATGTAAATGCAGCCAATCTATTAGGTTTTTCATCGATCTCTTTAGTTTCATCAATTTTAATATAATCATATTGTATTTTAGTTTTAGCCATTATAATTAATTTTGAAATGATTATTTTCGTTTGACCCCTTATCATTGAGGATATAATTATGTATGTATACTTGTTCATTAATTACGTCCAACTGCGATGACTAGTTTCTACGCGTTATTTAATTAGTAAATTAACCTAAAAAACTGTAAAATTCATCAGAGTATTTAAATCCTTAGGCAAGTTACCCGTCAGGGCGTAGCTGTGATAACCTCTTAACAGCCAATAGGTAGAGAAAAAAAAGTTAGGCAAGTTATTTTATGCGTTTTTTAAATTATGTACCTACTTAGTATTGATACAATATTTCATTCCATATTATTATAATATTTTATCTCTCTCTGTCTTTTATTATAATACCTATTAAGATCGTAACAGTAAGTAACTACATTTTATCTTAATATTTGTTTTTATATTTTGTAAGCCGGTGTCGTTATCGATAACGATGTATGTGTTACGAGAAATAACATCTAGGTACACTAACAGTAATAATAAAGTAAATACGAATGTTCGGATAAAGGACAAAAGTAGTTTATGATCCGGATTGAAAACATTTTATATAGAAACCTTTTCTATGGTAAATGATCGTCCCAGAAAATACTGGGTACCTATCTATCTCTCCGCTTAAATAAATATGATATTGTGTTTATGATTAATTCACTGATTCATTAGTTAACTGATCTACAAAACGACTGTTAAATTAACGAGCGGTGATTGATACCACCAACTCTTTGTCCCGGGAAAATGCAAGAAGTCATTCTGTCGGAATTACAGATTCGACACGAATGAAACCACAGGTTACGCTTAGTTATCCTTAGATGACTTATTAATTGTAATACAACAAAAAAATTTTTGGAGAAAGGAAAACGTTTTTTCTATTTTATTCTATCAACCCAGACATCCACTGCTAGACAAAGGCCTCCCCCAAGTCTCGGCACAAAGATTGGCCCTGCGCTGCTTGCTTCCAGCATTATTAACGTGACCATACGTCTCGCTTTGGGCGAGATTGTCCCGCTTTCAGGCTTTCCGTCCCGCTGCTCCCAACAAGAACAAAAATTTCAAAAATGTATCTGTTGGGCATGTGTTTATTAGAAACTTACCGAATACTTCATTATCCCAAATCCTTATTGTATCACAAAGTACATACTAAAGTAACTCTAATTTTGCTGTAGAAAAGTAGTTTTTTGTTGCGAGAGAATTATAAATATTATATTAAGGGCAAGTTGGTGTAAGAATTAAGATTTCAGTGAGGGTGAGATACCATAATAAATTATTTCAAGTCATTTAATAAACCACATTTTTTATTTTGCACTTAAATGTTGCATTTTACCCCGACGTACTCTGTATATATATTTATTTATATACGAAATTCCGTAGGCGACCCGCTTTGACACGAAAAAAAAATTGTCACGTTAAGCATTACACAAGTTAACTTTGAATTTTGCATTGGTGGCTTTTATTCAATTATTTGAGAGTACCAGAAAAAAGCACTTACGGAGTTAGTGAATGTTATGCCTTCTTTCCCGATAAATCGTTGAACATTCGTCATCGGATCCTGAAAGTAAAAATAAAACAACAAATACTTTCACTGTACAATCAATTTATTATATCACATTGTTAATTTTTTTTATATATATTTATAATACTAACCATTCCACCTAAAACTACATCTTGATCGTCGGTCAATATGAGAACAAAGTTTGGTTGTTTTAGTTCAGCCACAGCGTTGTTCACAAGAAATATTAAAAATAAATATTGTAACATTGTTCTTTATTTAAAATAATAATAATAAAAAAAAATTTAATGTGGCATAGCGGGCATGATCTCGAGGCCCGTACACTCGCTTGCGATAACAACGCCTACTGTGAAAAATCCGACGCTTTTTACTAATGACCTGTAAGATAAGACAAATCACTGTTATGAACATAGTTAATGTTTTATGTCATTTATAATGGATTAATAGGGTCGATAATAGTATATGGACAGCGTAGGACTGGACATTATGGCGAGCCTTGGGGAGGCCTATGTCCTGTAGTGGATGTTCATCGGATGACAAAAAGAGGGTTGTCAAATAAAAAAATATTTTATTTGTAACTTATTAATTTTTTTATATTTAATATAACAATGCTATAATCGTAAATCGGCAATTTGTAATGTACTAGAAATGTCAGAACAAGATAATGACAACTTTGAACAGGAAATTAAATTACAACAAGTTTGAAGTCATTGTGGCCTAAAGGATAAGATGTCTGGTGCATTCGTACGTAGTGATGCAACAGTGTTCAAATCCCGCTGGCAAGTACCAATTTTTATGATGAAATACATGCTTAATAAATAAATGTTCAAGATTGACTTCCACAGTGAAGGAATAACATCGTGTAGTAAAAATCAAACCCACAAAATTATAATTTGCGTAATTACTATTTACTGGTGGTGGGGCATATTGTGAATGCGCACGGGTGCCTATTCCTGCCGTGAAGCAGTAATGAGTTCAGTTTGAAGGGTGGAGCACATTGTACTGTAAAAACTGACCTTAGAACTCATGTATAAAGGTCTGACCTTAAAACTCATGCCTAAAGATCTGACCTTAGAACTCATGTCTAAAGGTAGGTGGTGGCGTTTATTTTATATGTTTATGGACTCCAGTAACCAATTAATCAGGTGGGCCATGACCTCCATCCACCCGTCTAGGCAATAAAAAATAAGAAAAAAGTTTTAATCAATCTTCCGTTGTTGGTAAAAGGCTGCTACTTATATTGGAATTAATTTTCACATTAAATTCTAAAAAAATTGAATTCTTTTAGCACATTGAATGCCGTAGCAGAAATTATCTTTAACCCAATGGATGCACACCTTAATATGACCACGTCACAGGGAATGACGGTTGGATATTTGAAATCTCAAAAAATAATTGTCAAATTACTGTTTCTGCAAGTCACCTCTTATTTTTGGACTATACTCAATATATTGTTGCACTCCTAGGCCGATCACATACTATCAGACATGCAATGTCCATCATGGCATTGAACATGCTAAAAATCTAAGCCAGTGTCAGAGGAAAATTGACGATTTGTATGATTAATTTAGCATTAGCTTTGTATTGTTTCCTTTTTATGTATTTTGTAAAATTAAGTCATAACACATTATTTATTGACACACTATATAACCACAATACAAAAGTGTGGTAAACTAAACTAAGCAATAAAAAAGTACATGTGTACAAGTACAAGTGTGTTGACAAATAAAACTTTTTTTATGAGGTTCTCTAAATATACTGTGTTATATAAACTACAAGCACACAAAGGGGAAGAATCTATTCGTAATTTATTAGTATTACATTGTCGCGTTTTGTGAAAACAATTAACTTACTGATTTTTAAAGGTGTGTCGTTGCGTAAAGGATTATTTCACGAAAAAAAGGATTAATTCAGAGTGAATAGAAATTTTGTTTATAGTTTAAAATTCAAAGCTAAATGAGTTCAAAATGAGTGAACCATCCATCCATCCATTGATTTACTTTTTGGCACATTTTATTATAGGTTATGTCAACTTACCATTTAAAAGGGTCGTAATAAAAATCTTTAACAAAAGCAACCACGCCTTTTTTGGCCATTATTAGTTCAAATAAAGGTAATTGTTTTTTGCTGACTATGACTTGAGATAATTCGTTAATTCCCGAAGAAAGGGAAAATTTCAAATGCAATTTTAGATTTGATCTATAAATATTGTCAGCTGTCACTACTTGGTATTTCAACAATCTGTCACTCTTTTCTGTTAGCTGTCACCTGCACTCACATTCTACTCATAAAAGTGTATTAGCAATGACTTGAGGGAGTGCATATAGAGTCCCTTCTTTATTTCGCCTGGTCGTGTTTTATGTAATTAACACCACAATTGGAACAATATAAATTTTATTGTTGTAGCGGCATAAAGTAATTACATTAAATTAGTTATTTAACACATTATAAATTATTTTTATGTTTTTCATATTTGGCGGTAATTTTTTTTAAGGGATTTTATGACCTGGTAACTAAGACCTTTAAGTCATGTCTTATTTTAATTTATTTTCTTATTTTTATGAAAAATTATGAAATAATAATAATAATAATTTATTTATTTCTCTCTTAAAGGTACAAGGTACATACAAATTCAAATGGAAATAAATTAACCTTATAATTTATTTTGTAAGCCTTTGAAAGGGCTGAAGTCTGTACTAGGCTCAAAGACCTGTATTACTGATCTCCAGGCTTCCTCCTTCTTAAGATAGATTAGGTTAGGTTAAGAAATGATATGAAGATGATTGATTTGAGACATTAATCAACTGGGATGAAATCAAATGAAATGAGATGAGATGATATGGGATGAAATATAATCTCAGTAAAATGGTGGTCATCTACTGAGACTTTTTCATTGGACTTTTTGGAGGGTCCCGAGAAGTGACGTCCAGCGGCTTTGTTTCATTTTCCCACATTTGTGCACTTTTACAGATATTAAACAGTTAATAAACCACCGTTATTACACATTTAAACCTGAAAAAACACTAAATAAACAAAATAAAACAAATCACACAACTTCACTCCTCGCGTTCCCGCCAAAAAGTCCTATTTGGCGGTAAAAAGGTCCCGTGTCACAGACTATATCCTTTTTCCCACATCTCGTGCGTTCCGGCTTACGCATAATAAAACGCCACAGACTATTGAGCATCATTGACCATTGAGTATGATATAATAAGATAGGTAGGCAAACAAGGCGGGCTGCATCATCGTTTAAATCAATTAGGATCTTTGACAAATAATTTTGAATGTTTTTTTATTGCCTTTGTATACAGAAGAGCTACGTAATAACTGATAGTCTGTGGTCACCGTCGTTTGTGGATTTATGCAATGCCAAGTGCATACTTATCTATAAGCTCATATCCGATCCAGGCAGCGAGCCAACATAGGCCGTTTTCCAATTACAGCACAAGAGCGCATTATGCGGCATAATGCTCATCTAAACTTCAGCAATTAACCATTACTTAATGGTAGTTTTCCAATTACAGAGCATAATGCGACTCAGTGACGCACAATGCCGAATTATGCTGAAGCTTAGCGGAGCATTATGCCGCATAATGCGCTCTTGTGCCGTAATTGGAAAACGGCGATAAATACGTTGTTGATCGAAATATTTCTTGTCAGATTCTCCGGATCCACTCGGTACTGAGAGAATACGAGTGTATTAAGCGGTAGGCAGCGGCTTGGCTCTGACCCTGGCATTGCTGAAATCCATGGGCGACAGTAACCACTTACCATCAGGTGGGCCGTATGCTTGTCTGCTTACAAGGGCAAAAAAAAAATTGGTTTTTCAAGAGCCGGTCACCGTCTTCGTTGATTATGACGAAGAGTTCGACGAGCGAACTAATCCATAGATACAAACCACTGAGTTTCTCGCCGGATCTTCTCAGTGGGACAAGATTGCGATCCGGTGGTAGATTCCATGAAGCACTGCTCTTGGTAGGGCCAGTGTTAGCACATTGTTTCAAGTTGAGCCCCGTGAGTTCACTTACCGTCACAACGTAGCTGGAATAGACCCTTAGCCAATACCGTCTTTACCATAAGGGCACACGGGGCCCGTGCCCAGGGCCCCCATTCTCGAGGGGCCCCGAAAGACCGACAATTTCTCTCCATGTTTATTCTCAAAACATTTTGTCGGGCACATTACAGTTTTTTCACAAATCAGTAATCAAAAGGTTACAAGGCATATATTATGCCTATAATTTATTTATAGTTATTTACAAGGCATATATTATGCCTACAATAGAAGATTTTGCTCAACAAAAATCCCGAAAGAAACCATTATCGAAATCGTAACCAAAAAACCAGCAGCATTCTAATAGGGCCTCAAATTCTTGTGTGCCCAAGGGCCCCATCCTAGTTTAAGACGTCCCTGCCCTTAGCCTACCAGCGAATAGGTGGAGAAAAATAAGTTGCTGTGAGTAAGTGTTGACTCTCTTCCAACGGTGTGAGTGACAATCTGATATAGTTCCTCAGAGCACCCAGATGTTTCACATAAATCTGAATATTTTACATCGACGCTGTGTGAATCGCACATTGTTTGTAAAGCGTGTCTCAAATTATGTAAAATTTCAAGTACAACGTGCCTTGATAAACTACGTGGTTTACTTTTTTTTTTATTGCTTAGATGGGTGGACGAGCTCACAGCCCACCTGGTGATAAGTGGTTACTGGAGCCCATAGACATCTAGAACGTAAATGCGCCACCTACCTTGAGATATAAGTTCTAAGGTCTCAAGTATAGTTACAACGGCTGCCCCACCCTTCAAACCGAAACGCATTACTGCTTCACGGCAGAAATAGGCAGGGTTGTGGTACCCACCAGCGCGGACTCACAAGAGATCCTACCACCAGTTATTACGCAAATTATAATTTTGCGGGTTTGATTTTTATTACACGATGTTATTCCTTCACCGTGGAAGTCAATCGTGAACATTTGTTGAGTACGTATTTCATTACAAAAATTAGTACTGGCCAGCGGGATTCGAACACCGGTGCGTCGCAAGATACGAATGTACCGGACGTCTTATCCTTTAGGCCACGACGACTTACTTGGGCTTTGGCTCTACTTACATAAATAAGTTTTTGTTCAACAGTCAACATTTTATTATAAGTATTGATACGTCAAGGTTTAGATTAATCTTGGCTGAGCCTTTGCTCGCCCACCTGTCCTGGTGAAACTGGAAAGGCCTTCGGGTCACCAGTAATCCTTCAATCATAAAAAAACTTAGATTCATTTTATGTATTAAGTGCATCTATTTATCTCTATTACTTCATTTCAATATATTCTCTTACAAAGTTGAGGAAATAAGATGGTTTTTTTTATTGATAGCATTAAAAGTCGTTTTTGTTTTTTTTACAGATTATTTATTAGTCAAAACTGTTTTTACTATCCAATCTGTATAATGAGAGATTTTAGTGTAGACACCAGGGTAGTATCGATGACCGCAAGAGTAACCGAAAGATACGAGGCCTACTACAAGGCCTTTGTATATTAATGGCCCACCAGAGTCTCCATAGCAACCATCTGGACCGCCAGCTTCAACGCGTCCAGCACATAACATTGAATCAGAAATCAGTGCCCGGATTGTGGCGTAACGATTTCTACATACATCTTGATCTATTGTAAATAGTGCTGTGCTTTGCAATTGTTCCGGTTGAGCTCCGTCAGGCTGAAATCAGAATGATACAGTTTGGTCCTAAGTTGAATGTAACCCACATTTGTTTTAGTTTGATTATCGATTCAAAATTATTAGTCATTTTTTTATCCTGAAATCGATAGAATTAAGCGGTAGGTAACGATTTGACTGTACTCCCTAGCATTGTTATGGTGGTCATTGGCTGTAGGTATTATAATTTTTCAATGGGACTGCCGCGTGACTTAGAAATGTATAAATTATTTTTCATTGTTTTAGTAATTTGCTCTTGTTAAGGTTATCATTGTTATGTAATGACGCTGCTTCACGTTCTATAGAAAATCTTTACATTATTCTTTATTCTAGGTTGAGTATAGCTCGTGATGTCGCGTCCAGACCATGTACACTACTCCACGACTGCAAAATGCATACCAATTCTCTTATAGGTAATTACCTCTTTAACTCCCCATCCGATAAGGGTACAAATAGAATTCGGACTTATTTCGGTTCCATACTTCACAATAGTTCCTTGTCTTACTTTTGGACTAAATATAAATGTTTTAGTCACAACGACCATTGCGATATCATTGGTGTAATAAAGCTGATCGAAGCCACGATGAGTTATGATTGTTTTCAAGCCATGGATGAAACCTCCTCGGGACCTGTAAGAGGAACCTACGCGAACCCTCCAGTATTTAGGTAGACTGTAGCTGAAATTTAAGTTTGTAAAGATTAGATCTTTTTTTTGCATCCAGACTACCACTTTGATTTTTTGAGTTTTGAGTATGATTGTCAGTCACAATTCCCAATACCCTGATTTAGGGGGTGGGTGATGGGATACTGATGGTGTAGGACTTGTTGTAGGCCAGCGTATACAGAATTCACGTTGCAAAGTCCATAGGCTCAGTTGACTGTTTAACGCCAAGCTACGGCCAAACCGTTTACTGAATTATGCTAAAAAAGGTAACTTTTGAACCAAAAAAAGGTTAATGTGTATAATGAAAGAGTAGAATTCAAAGGGTCTGTACATTGAAGATAAGTAGTGAAACTAAAAAGGGCTTTAATAGATATGAGTGATTTTTGGAACTGTTGACTGTCTGTATGTTCGTGATTTTGCGCACATTTTCCGAATTACTACGTCGTTTTTCATGTAGATATACGGGTATACTTATAACTATTATTATATATGGAGCAGAATTAAATCCACATGTCATGGATTGTTCCAGAAAAAATCTTCATATAAATGAATAAAGAACACAACACATCTGCATAATCATAAAACGCTACAACTACATAAACATACAATAGGTACTCTGTGTACTATTTACAGTAAACACTATCTACGTCATATTCATTTTAATTAAGTTCGTCGTTTCTAATACTTTATAGGTCATATCATATAGGTGATCATCACTCACGAACGCGTCAGATGTTATAAATGGATAATGAAATATTTAAACTTTTAATGAAAATGATTTCCTCATGTGTTCCTCATCCGAACACACTATGTCGTTTAAAAATATTTACACACAAGCGGCCCGCTCCGGCTCCGCTCGGGTCTTTAACAAAAAAATTTAACGATATTTGACGTTGTTTTATTTTCTAAAATAAAAGAACTTATTGCGGCATGACTATAATAGTTAGACATATGCTGTTGCGACACTTTTTGTAAATATTAACGTGTTCTACAAAGCCGTAGTACATTATTCTATTCTATCATCAATAGGTCTCGCAGGGCACGCGATGTAATGAATATTTTTGGTAATTTTTTTACACCTTGGGTTACATTATTGGAGTTTTATTAAGGATCCCTAATTTTTTTCAAAAAAGATTTATAGCCTATGTCACTCGGGAATAGTGTAGCTTCCAAACAGTGAAAGAATTTTTTAAATCGGTTCAGTAGTTTCGGAGCCTATTCAATACAAACAAAGAAACAAATCTTTCCTCTTTATAATATTAGTGTAGATAATAAAGATAATTTACGTTTATGTAAAATAATTATTATTTTACATAAAAGTAAATTATCTTTATTATTTTCGTTTTATAGATAATTTTTAAAATAGTCCGAATTTTGCAATATACAACCGTTATTATTTAATCCATTTTCGTATACAAAAACTGTGTTTACGGCAGAAAAATCCGACTTACTTTCTTCCGGTACTTTCGTTGTATTGAAAACAGTGTGCAGTGGATACGACATGCCTAGATGTTAGGATAACACCTGCACAGTGCTGTATAAAGTTTCTGTCGCCCCACGTATCTAGCAACAGCTGTGCAACTATCGGGTATCTGTCTATAGAGGTGGGCTTTCCTTCGATCACTCGCAGTTGGTACTGTGTATTTACTGAAAGAAAAACAATATATATATATTTAACTAGCGACCCGCCCTCGCTTCGCTTCGGAAACATTAAAACACACATGAAACAAAACAAAAAAAAAAGTAGCCTATGTTCATCAGGGACAATGTCGGCTTCTAATGGAAAATGAATTTTTCAAATCGGTCCAGTAGTTTCGGAGCCTATTCGAAACAGACAAACAAACAAATCTTTCCTCTTTATAATATTAGTATAGATATTGCTCAGTGTCCTTAGTTGGGCTAAAGCTTAGAGTTTATGTGTTACTAGCCGTGTCCCGCGGTTTCACCCGCAAATTAATAAATTTATAATTTGTCAATTGACAATGAAAAACTTTGAATTTTTTTTGAGATAAACTTTTGCTTGTGTCCTGCATATTATAAAATAGAAGAAAATCACGAACTAGGGAACCTGCACTCGCATTTATTGATAAAATAATCACTTTTTTGTACTCAATATTACTCATTCTCCTGCCCTTCTTCCAGTCACGCGTTTCGGTTTGCAGGGTGGGGCAGCCGTTGTGACAATACTGAGACCTTAGAACTATATCTCAAGGTGTGTGGCGCATTTACGTTGTAGATGTCGATGGGCTCCAGTAACCACTTAACACCAGGTGGGCTGTGAGCTCGTCCACACATCTAAGCAATAAAAAAAAAGCTGGGGTCGTCGCAACTCTCCTTCCATACTTCTCTATCATATACCATTTCTTCGCTCGCTCCCCTCTTACACATATCGTCTTTCATGTAATCCATCTATTTCTTCTTAGGTCTACCTCTTCCTCTTTCTCTAATTTAATCAATAATATTATAATCTTAATAATTTGACTATTTCCTTACCAGCAATGAATAAAAAACATTGTGAACGAACTTGATTTGCCTTTTAATTCCTATCGTTTTGGCGACGTAGAATAGTTCAATGAAAATCTGAACTCATGACGCTTCGCGGCAGAAGTAGACAGGATAATGATACCAAATCTACCAACCCAATTGTTTAACCAACACTAACTTAAACTAATTCTATACAATTCGCACTGGTACGTTCAGATTCCAACCTTAATCACCTTATCTTAAAATTCATTTTTTATTACTTTGGAAAGAAAATATTCAGTGATAGGTAGGTACGTCTTGATTTGAAGGGTTGGACAGCCGTTATGCGTTGTATATTGTACTATTCAGACTTAGACCTTCAAAATGAGTAGAAGTATTCAAGTTGTGATGTTCTAGGGCTCCTATAACCAGGCTTATTACCAGATGATTCGTGACATTAATGACCCATTTAATAAAAAAAATGTACTAAGTTTCTCAGGGTCATATTGTCGGCCTATTGATTTCCCAACACCTAAACACTAAAACACCTTGAACAAAAAATTTGTGTCGCAATAAATTTAATATTTTAAAAACAAATAAGGGATTAGCTTACCTTGAAAAATTTCAAAAGTTAAAAAAACCGCAACTACAGAATTTAAACATTTAAAAAACATTTGAACAGTAAGTGCGATCGTTCGGTTGCTCTAAAAGACTAGTACTTAGCCAGTTAACTGTTGCACTGTCGCTATATTATCTTCTGAAGATGACCCATGCCGAGTTATGGTTAACTTAAATAATGTATAGTCCGATGTACATAGTTTGATCGTTGGCGTGTTTTTCTAATTTAGTTTTGTACAATTTTAAAGCTTTTGTATTGATTCAGATTAGAAGAAAAGTTTAATATTTATGTAGAGCAATACTACATTGTGCACCAAGGGAGAAAAGTTGGATATTTCCTCCCGCGTGTAAAATTCAAGATCCAAGATGGTCCAAGTTGAGGGTCCAACTTTTCTCCCGCGGTGCACATACTATTTTTTCTCCTACCAGGCCGAAAGTTCGTGGAGTACTGAGCCGGGGTCCAGGGGCGAAGCCCTGGTGGGGGGTAGGGGGGGGGGGCGGAGCCCCCATACTCATAAAAACAATTTACCTGTTTTTCATTTTTAAATAAACTACTACTAATTGAATAAGAACTGCCTGATGAACTCATCTTTGTTTAATACTTCACTATTAAATTTCATTGCCTTTGTTTATTTCACTTTTACACTAAACACAACATTGCAAATTACCCGAGCACAACAATGGCGAAGAATTTTAGGTGCGTGAGAGCAGACGTAGACACAAACGCGCATGCGCACTTGTACATAGGGAGAAAAAGTTACACATTCTTCCCTGTACAGCAGGACGAAAACCGAACTTTCGGTGTAGGTATGAGAAAAAATTAATATTAGAATTAAAATCTTATGTAACGAATAAATTATTAAAAGTGTCTAAATATTATTTAAGCACTGTCACGTTATGTGTTCTGTTACTGGTGGGCCGGGGACCTTTCCAGCTTCACCAGGACAGGGGGGCGAGCAAAGGCTCAGCCAGGACAGAAGGAGTTTGCTAACAGCAGCCTGAGCGCCTCCGGAGGAGACTTATCAACTCAAACATCAACTTTGCGAATGAGTTGTGTGTATAATAAAATTTAAATGTATTATTTTGTTTGTGTTTACGTTCTAATTGACGAATGATTTAAAAATACAGCTTTATCACTTAGCTATCATTAGTACTCACAGAGTACCTACATATTCAGATGTCTGTCACATTTTTGTACTACCTACTATTAATTGAGTCATCAATTAACTCTAATATTATTGATTTCCATTAAATTGCAGCTGCTATTATATTATGAAGATCACTTAAAAACGAAATTTAGACAGCTTAGCAATTGCTCTGAAGAGCTTAAAAAACTGCGATTAATGAACAACTATTATAGATATCGTCATGGTAATTCCCTTATCGTTGTCGCCGCTGACTGCTCCTCGAATCCGCAAGAGCAGTGTTGTGAAGACGCAAGAGCCAGTCACCGTAGTCGCCCTAGACACGTCCTTACGGAACCATCAGATCCAATAACCCTTGCATTAGACGCTTTCCGCTCTAACACTAAGAGTAGAGACCCCGGTAACCGTACTCGTTGAACTCGGCAAGGAGTTCGACGTGCAACCTGACCTAAGCATCAGCCCGTTGAGTTTCTTACCGGATCTTCTCAGCGGGTCGCGATTCCGATCCGGTAGTAGATTCATTCGCGAAGCAGCTACTCTTGAGTTGTTAGGTCTCCCTTGGAGGCGCTCGGGTAGCTGTTAGCAAATCCCGCCCCTTGTGGCTGAGCCCTTGCTCCCCCACCTGTCCTTGTGAAACTGGAAAAGCCTCAGGGCCACCAGTAAGCTCTCAATCATAAAAAAATATAGATATCTAAGTCATGTCTTGCGAAGCACGACCTATTATACAATGACCATGACTATTAATACTGGCGTTCCGCAAAGTTTTCTAAAATACTGGAGTTTTCAACAAGAATACTTGGACCGACCACGAAATTTATACGAGAAAATCATCCTTGCATCATAGAAGACCTCTGTAGTGAAAACGTATTTTTTTCTACAAACTTAAGGTTGTTCTGTGATTAAAATATCAAGTTTAATAGCCTAAGTATCAAATACCTTCAGTCGAAGTAGATATGTATAATGCAAAACACGTATTGGAACGTTATTTCTATCATTAATCATTTTTTTTCTGAAAACACGACTTCGTAAAAAAATCATTTACCTGTCAGCAGTATCAATATTGGTAAGTTAGTTATTAAGTACAAATAAGCAATTAAAAACGGAGTACCCGTATTTTTTTACAACATTCCGCTCTCAAATCTCATGGTACGAAATTAAATGATTAATGAGTGTAGTTTAAAGAGTTGAAAGAACCTAATTATTGCTAAGCGCTGATAATAATGTTGATGTTAAGGCAAAGAACCAAAACTAGAGTATAATTAATTTCAGTAAAATCTGTTTTTATTTTAATGGAACCTCATTATTTTTTTATTGCTTAGAGGAGTTTTAACACGGTGACACGGTCAAATTCATGGTCCACCTGATGTTAAGTGGTCACCGCAGAACAAAAATCCTACCTCTTTGTGCTGCGAGAGTCATGTGCTCCGGTTTGAATGGTCGGACAGTCGATAAGTAATAAAATTGTGAGTTTGACTTCATGTCTCATGATAGGTGGTAGTATTTACGTTGTGACGTCTATGATTCCGAAAAACTTAACACCATATGGATCGTGTGGTCTTTTTCAGATATTGTGTAAGCTCACATGCGTGTTATGCACATTGATGAATAAACCCAGTTGGTTGAAAGGTAGTACCTACGGGTATAGGACTAAGAATTCGAACTTGTTTCAAAGAATGGTAATTTTCACATCCATGGGCCCGCAGTAATTTGGTGGGTGGGGTGGGAAATGAACTCATTTCTACATTTATTAATATTCATATATTTTTTTTTTGTCTACCTAAGCCGAGTGCCTTGAGAGGCTATTTCAGCGTAACCCTAACTTTTGTAGGTGAGCTCACGGGGCTCAAACCTGATGACGTTGCTAACACGAACCCTAGCAAGAGCCGTGCTTCGCAGAATCTACCACCGGATCGGAAACCCGACCCACTGAGAAGATCCGGCGAGAAACTCAGTGGGCTGTGTCTGAGAGTTAATTTACTCGTCGAGCCCTTCGTCGCAAGCGACGGGTTTGACGAGAACGGTGACCGGTGCTTGAAGTACCTAGAAGCACCGTTAGTGGATCGGGAGGATCCGAGATGACGTGTTTCGGGCGACGTCGACTGCTTTCCATTCTGTCCGCAGGATCGGGAATGTAATTACCGGCGGCCACGATGAGAGGGTTCTCGTGTCGTGCCGCTTTATTAGTATCTATGAGTTCGAAATGCACTACATACGTGACTTCAACAATTATCCAAGAAGAAAAAAAATTTGTAAAATCGAGCTTGGGTTGACTGTTGTAGTACCTACGCCAACAGTTAGGTAGTAGATACATTCTGAAAAAAAGTAATAGTCCTCTGTACGTATGCTCACGAAGATTGACCCAAGCCTCAAGATGCTTATACAGACAGTTGGTCGGATGAATACCTCAAGCACCAGTCACCGTTCTCGCGGAACCCGTCGCTTGCGACGAATGCTGACAAACAGGACGACCGCCGAATTCATAATAGTTCTTGTCATTTGACTGTGGAACCTTGAAAAATTAAAATTAATAATGTCGCCTTTGACTATAATTTATTCAGGTTCGTTTCATTTTTACAGAGATTGAACTAACATTATCATTCGGGTTAGGGCGATGACAGAATCAAAAGGTCCCCCCCCAGGCAAAGAATTATTTTTGTTCTTGCCTTCGAATGTTTATTTATACCAATCTATATATATAAAAATGAATTGCTGTTCGTTAGTCTCGCTAAAACTCGAGAACGGCTGGACCGATTTGGCTAATTTTGATCTTGAATTATTTGTGGAAGTCCAGATAAGGTTTAAAAGGTTGATAAATATGAAAATGCTCGGAATTAAATAAAAATAACAATTTTGTTTTCCCTTAGATGTCCCCCCCGTCAGACGGATTCTTGAGTTTGTTTTAAGTTTATTTTACACAAAAGTTTAGGTCTTTTATTTATCGATTGAGACACTACGAAGTCTGCCGTATCAGCTAGTATTAAGTTAAAATTATTAAAACATCTATGCATTAGACCGTACATCCAAATATTAATAGCTGCAGCTGAAGCAAGCAAAAATTTACCAAATTATTGTGGTATTAAATTAGATATTGTATTTGCATAATATATTTTATTTTCGAAAAACATTAGTACATAAACTATAATTTCAAATATACAACAATAATATTAAATCAAATCATAGCTATTCGAATTTTATTCAACTCAATATTTAAAATTTGTTATCTTATTATTCCTTTACTTCGTATAACAGACTGTATTTGGTTATCTATACTGGTGTAATATTTTAATTGAGTTAGCAACTTGGTAACCCTTTTGAGATCACCTTCAAAGAATGCCGTTGATAACTGTTTTTGTAAGGATTGAATTTTATTTTTATTTTCCTCATTTAAATTCATGATTTCTTCCTCTGTTTCTGCTGATTCTACTTCTTCATTCTTCTCCATGATTTTCATAAGAAATTCTTGATCAACTTCTGTTTTTTCAGGAATGTCTTTACCTCTTAATTGAAGCATGTAGATACCTTAAATTAATTAAATAATATCGTATCAATTTAGAAACTATTACCAAGACTCTATCATCACTGTTATAAAATAAATTAAGAAAATCTTGTTGAGAAGATTGTTTTAATTTTTTTTAAATGATTTGCTACTAATAAGAGATATGAGTCGTCTATTATCAAAGGTGGCAATCTGTGCATTTGGACAAAAAAAAAGTGTGTGTGTCCGCTCCGACGCACGACTGGAGTTTACTGGATATAAAAAATTAAACGAAACAATACGAGAAATAGTTCTATATTACGACAACACGATACACTACAGATTATTAACAAATTAACGAGACACAAAACAAACGACTAACAAATATATGAAAATACAATAATGAGAGAAACGCGCGATCAGTACGAGGCTTTGTGGCGGACTGCCGGCGCAGCAGCCCGGCGTCACCTGCAATAACGCGGCCGCGCGTTGGCTCCTGATTGGCGCGCGCACGCATCACGCAATCAGGAGCCAATCAGGCGCATAACGCATTTCGTGTGACATGCTAGTACGATTTTGGTCCCCATAATTTTCATACCCCGGGCCTATATATGTAAATCGATTCTAAAGGAGTAAACTCCAAAAATTTATTGATATGTCAATACAGATTGATTTGAATATAATCGTCTCCTTCAAAGAATACGGTTCAAAACCTGCATTAAATAAAGGTTAATAGTTAACCTGTTATTTATCTAAAATGTCGTTCCGAAGAGTTTTGTGACTGCCGATGGAATACAAAGTCAATAATTCGTTTTTCTGATTTACCAATCATTGTCCAAAAGTCAGATTGCCGCCTTTGATAATAGTCGACTCATATGTGAAACATCATTCTTTTTATTCTATTCCGAAAAAAATGAAGCTTATAATAGTGTAAAGCAAATATTGCATGTTAAGAAACATAAACATATTAAGAAAAATTAAGTAAATATGTTGTAAAGCACAATGCTTTGAAGAAGGCCTATAAAACTGATAATGTTGTATTAATTATAGACAACTATAGATATGAGTTGACTTTTAAATTCATCTTCAGTATTTTATATGTCTTGGCTCTGTATGTTTCAGTAACCTAATAGGTAAACAGCTTGTCTTGAATAATAACTATAAACAAGATTAGGATAATTTTTTTATTATTTGACACATAAGGCTGCAATCATTCCAATACAACTATAGCACATTTATTGTTTCGTGGTGGTTGATAGCATTCATGTTGGATTCGAATAAGCATATAATGCAAAGTGAGTGATGAGTTTTAGCTACCTAACTAGAGTAATAAAAATACTACTATTTCCTGGTTTTGTTTATTTTAAAACAAAATTATTTTTATTTATTGCTTACCTCTTGCTAATGGTTCCAACAATGTTTTATAAGCTTCATTTACTAAGGAAGAATATTTTTCAGATATTTCTTGTTCTTCTTTGACTCTGGAAATAAAAAAGTGAATAAGCTTTTCATTAGTTCAATCAGATAGGATATATTTATATTGTAAATAAAATAAAGGTAAACCTTATTTTATATAACAATGATTACTACAGCACCTATGAACATATTATTACGGTGGATGGTAACATTTAGTCATCGGTACAATCATGTCAAGTGGCACAGTCAAGCCCCAGGATTAGTTTACAAAACTATAATCTTTCATTTAAAATTAAAACGCTAAATATTGTAGAAAAGTTTTATAAATATCATGATCACCTTCTATAAATCATGTATTATAAATACCTATTAGCATATTTGTCTGGGTGTAGATATTTTTGCAGATCTTTGTATTTTTTAGCTAAATCATTTTCGTTCAAATCATATGTTTCACTAACACCCATTATTTTGAAGTAATTGTCTTCTTTGTTTGGTTTCTGAAGAGCATTGCAGTTAGAACAAAAGAGGTTCACGACCAAGGTTTTCGGGTCTTTCCCACAAGACCAACAGATAAAACGAAATTGATGTGTTATGTACAGTTTTGTACTGTTGTTAGACAAAATTCGAAGGAAATTCATTTTAAGATTTTCTAAAACTGTATATTATGAAAGGTATTACGACATTCGAGATGGTCACGAGATTCAAGTCTTCTAATTTAAAAAATATTTCGCGAAAATTAAAATACTTTGTTTATTTTCATTTAAATATGAAAAGGAGTAAGGGTAAGGACTTTGAAACCTTGGTATCAGCTGATAATATCCACAGATTATTTTCTTACAGTTTCGCTCCATATTATTTTTCATAAAAGTTTTTTTTATTCCCCTTATAGGCCGACGAGCATACGGGTCACTTGATCAGGAGTAGTTACTATCACTCAAGGATGTCAGCAATGTTAGGGGCATAGCTGAGCTGGCACCTATCCCAAAAAATATAAAGGATTAGGCTATATGGTATTATGCTTTCGCCTTTCTTGTTGGAAAAATGGAATTACTACTCTGTCTACTGTCATTGTCATTTCAAGCGCTCTGTCATACTCGGCAAAGACATATTTGTGTTGTTAATTTATCAGATCTCGGTACATAAGCAAAACAAATCGCATTTCAAATGTCATTTTAAATTTATGTACATACCTAAGTAATTAATAAATTAATATAAATAGTAATTACTAGTAATTTTAAAATCTTACTGAGAATTGGAGACAAAATGACTTATTATACTATGGAAACATGCGGAGAAGGGACGAACTTTCAAAAAGAAATATCGAATATGATGCACGGATTTGGAGATAACCCGAACCCTAACGCTGCAACGGTACTTTTAGTAGAAAATATTGTTTTGCAACAGCTTAGGAGTATCCTACAAGAAGGAATATTTAATTCTAACTTGAGAGGAAGTAAAACAATCACTAACTACGACATAATATACACAATGCGTAACAATACTGTAAAATTAAAACGTTTGCACGATTACCAGCAAAAACTGGATCAAATCGACAACAAATCACAAGTAAACGTCACAACATCAGCCGAAACTATATACTCTAATATTATACTAGAAGACGAGAAGGATCCGACAATGAAAAAAAAGAGAACACATATTGATGTGATAAAACTAATAGACGAAGCTGATGAAGTGAGTCAGATAAAATTCGATGCGATCGATTACTTAAGGAAAGTGCGAGCATCAAAATTAACAGAGTCAATGTCTTTTGAAAAGTATGAAGCTTATCATAAGGCTAGATGTAGTTCTTTCCGTTGCAATGGCTATGGAATCGGTAAGGGCTTTATAAAATTAGAAAGGTGGATCAATCCAACCAAGGAACTCAAAATTAGTCACTCGGCATTGGAAGTATTGTGTTTTATTGCTTACGAAACTGTGGCTGAAATTGTTGATGCTGTGTATTTGATTCGACAAGATGCCAAAAGAAAACACGGAGACCCTTTTAGTAAATATGAAGGTGGATATTTCTGTAATCCCTTAAGCTTAAGTAATGCTGTTTATATAAAGTCAGGTTATGAAGGAGTGCCTGCAATAACAGTGGCTGAAGTGAGAGAGGCATTGCGTCGTTACTTTTGTCCTATAAATGGAATGAATGGATTATTTTATAGAAATATGCATATGGACTTACCAGCAAGATTTATTGCTTTATAAATTACGCTTTGTAATACCATTTTGTTTTACCATGAAAGATTGTGAGATCACATTTAGATACAAATGACAAAATTAAAATAGAAAATATAACAAAAGAAAAAGTGTATCAGTGAAATTTATAAACAAAAATGTCTTTTCATTGTTGAAATTTTAGTTAGGATTTAGATAAATGTCACTATTACCTGTTATAAAATAATATAGTGTTATTTAACTATTACTACATAATTAATTATCGCTGGATTTAATGTGGTATTAGCAAAATAAAGATTATGGTTTGATAATGCATTGTAAAACTATGTCATTAAAGTTGTCAAAAGATTTAACTACTGCTGTAACTAAAACAAGACATATTTATACATGAATTTTTATTGATTAAGATCTTAACAAAATCCTTATAAGTACACCCCACTCTAATGGCTAGCATAAACTGAAATTTTAATTGTCATAGTTGTAAAGAATTTTATTTAAAAATGATGTTGAAACATTTAAAGTTATAAACTGTTGATCCAGACTAGAAATAATACACTAAACCGTGCTGTACACTTTCTATATTAATTTTTACAGATTGGGAAGGTTTGTATATTTTAAAAATTTCCACAAATTACTAACTACATGTTTTTGTTATTGTACGATAGCTCAGTTTTATGATATTTTAAAGATTTAAAGAATTACGGACTTACCGCCAACTGCTCAAAGATTTCACGACTCCTTTTTCAAATGTTGCACACACTGCGGCAACACGTAGCGCTAGTGTCGCGCTTAGTTTTGATTGCGCGAGTACCGGGCAAGTTGGCGGGAGATTTCAAAATGTAAACCCCAAAATCGAACAGTTATGTTGCACAATGTAGTTGCTCAGCAGCAGGATTATGAGTTATTTGCTAAACTGATCTACATACTCTAGATACTTTATTAATTTTGCAGCTGCTTATAACATTTGACAGTTTATGGACACATGGAATCGTGTAAGCCTTAGACTTTTTTAGATGAACATCATGTAATAAAGTGAAGAATAAATAATATCTTTAAAATAAATATTAGTTATTTAACTTGGAACAGCGTGTAACTGCAATATACCAAATTAGATAAAGTCCATAATATGTTTCTTCTTTTCTTTAGTATGGCAATCAGCTTTTCTAATTTAATATTATACTGGTAACTGACTCATACTCAACTGGACTCTTATGAGTCCGCGCGGGTAGGTACCACCGCCCTGCCTATTTCTGCCGTGAAGCAGTAATGCGTTTCGGTTTGAAGGGTGGGGCAGCCGTTGTAACTATACTTGAGACCTTAGAACTTATATCTCAAGGTGGGTGGCGCATTTACGTCGTAGATGTCTATGCGCTCCAGTAACCACTTAACACCAGGTGGGCTGAGAGCTCGTCCACCCATCTAGTAATAAAAAACAAAAGAAAACTATGTAATTAACACTGAATAATAAGAATTATTTATTATCATTAATAAATAGTTTTTATTGTATTTTATAATATTAAATTGATTAATTTGTTAATGAAATATTTTATTAAACGCAAAATAAAATAGAGAAAAATGAAATGAAAGATGATTATCTGAAATAAAAAAATTACGAAATAGGTGAAACTGAATAAAACCAAATGGAATGAAACGAGATGAAAGGAAATAAATTAGTTTTTTTTTTAAATTGGTTTTATAGGCAGAAGGGCTTGCGGCCTTCTTATTGGTCAGTGGTTTTCGTCGCCCATCAACCTCAGCAATGGCAAAGGGACGGTCAAGTCGCTGCCTTCAAAGCGGGTTAGCTTACCTAAGACTTCAATGGACTTCAGTTTCAATTTACCACATTTTTGCACTTCCAAATGTATACTAAACACTACTTAGCCACAATTATTACACAATACTGTCCTGGCGAAACAGTAAAGTCAATCGGGCAATCAGTAATCCATTTTTTTTTCTCTTTCTCCCCACCTATGCTGATAGCCTTGAAAGGCTATCTCAGCTTCGCCTTGACGTGTAGGTGAGCTTATGGGGCTCAAACCGTGAGTGTTGTTAACAATGGCCCCAGCAAGAGCAGTGCTTCGCAGAATCTACCACCGAATCGGAAACGCGACCCACTGAGAAGATCCGGCGAGAAACTCAGTAGGCTGTGTCCATGGGTTAATTTACTCGTCGAGCCCTTCATCGCAAGCGATGGGTTCGGCGAGGACGGTGACTGGGCTAATCCATTCCCCACCAACATTTTTATCATACCTGAACCATAGTAATTTTTCCGGTTTTTTCGAGTCGCAGACATATTATTTAAAATTACTTTTACGGTTTAACTTCGCGTGTTTTATTGTTATTACATTTGTTATTTTATTATGTACAGTTGTTATAATCTAAATATATTTTTTATTTCAAAAATAAATTATGATTATAGTAATACAATGTCGAAATGTCGACGAGTAACATCCTAGTCGTCCGTTACCACGAAAACTTTAGTATTCAAATGGTAGGAAATAATAAAATGACAAAAAACGCAAGTTTAAATCGTAACAGTTCCTAGTTTTAATTATAAAAAATAATAATAAATAAATAATTGGGGAATGCACGCTCATCGCGATGCCTCCAATGAACACTACTCTAACTCCAAATTCGTAGGTTTACAGGAGGAGAGTTTAAACGAAAAAAGTTGATAAATATATCTGCAATAATAAAGATTTTATGGTTTTTTCTTGTGTAACTAGCTGATTTACTCTTGCTTCGAACCCCATTAATAATGAATTTGTAATACTTTTAAAATCGTGAAGCGATTTGCGTGAAAAACGAAAATTTCAAAATTTTGAGTTAGAGTAGTGTTCATTGGAGGCATCGATCGGGCCGCGGGACCAAAGTCTGACATAAATACTTATTATATACGTTTAAATATATACATACATATATAGATAGTAGACACCCAAACAAAGAGCAAATAAGGTTGTTTATCACACGAATGTTTTCCTGATTTGGGAATCGAACCCACGACCCCAAACGCAACAGGAGCGCTAACTACTGCACCACTGAGTCAATCGAATGCTCAATATAATTTCTTAAAAATTTAATTATAAAAAGATAGGTACGTTTTTCTACTAATTTCTCATTAATTTCGTTAGGTAAAGCTACCAACCCGGTCGTGGACGGGCTTGCGGTGCGCACTCTGCGTGCTGTGGGTCTCGTCTGCGGGGGAGTTGCTGGACTTCGACCGGGCGCGTCCGTAGGTGGCGGATCACGGGCCTCTGGGCAATAGTCACAGGGGCATCGCTCCTTCTCTCCCGTTGTGTTACGGCGGGAGAGATTGAGCGACGCGGACCAAAACCAGCACCNTTTTCCCGGGGATGGAGTGCCGTCCTATTAACAGGATGGGTACCGGCGACGGCGAGCCTTCGGCGCGCACTGTGCGGTACCGTGGGTTTCGTGGAGTCGGAGTGGTGGGGCTCGATGGGGTTTAGTCGGTAGTCGTTCTGCGGGGCAAGTGCTTCGCGCGCCTTTTTCAAGGCGTAGTCTCCTGTGAGAAATTGGGGGAGGTGAAGGACTTCGGCTCTTCTCTTCTCCCCTTCTTCCTCTCAGGAGGCGCCGGAGTCCGACATAACCCGGTCCGTTACCCCCCTTGACCGGGTATCCGTAAATGGATTCCCCAGCGTTAAAAAAAAAAAAAAAAAAAAAGGTAAAGCTACCAATTTCTCAAATGTATGCGGTAGGTATATGTGTACATCGCATGCCATCGTTCATTTTAAAATACAACATGTAAAACATTTACGACAAACAACTTGTACATGTGTTCACTTGTTCGGTGTTGGGGCGTTGACGAAACTTTGTCTGTATTCTGGTAGCAGGTTTTTGAGGACAGTGGCTTGCAAATTTAATTTCGCTTCGCTGAGTTATAGCATTACGTTATTGGAGCTAGACGTGCGGGGAACGACGTATTGAATTAATAATAAGTTTTATTTACGACCCGATTTCGGAGAGGACGCCGGAGGAAATCTATCTATACTAATATTATAAAGAGGAAAGATTTGTTTGTTTGTTTATATTGAATAGGCTCCGAAACTACTGAACCGATTTGAAAAATTTTTTCACTGTTTGGAAGTTATACTATTCCCAAGTGACACCTTTTTTGAAAATAATTAGTGGTCCTCACTAAAACTCAATAATGTAACCCAAGTTGTAAAAAAATTACCTAAAATATTCTTTGCATCGCGTGCCTTGCGAAAACTATTGATGATAGAATAAAAATATAATGTAGGTACTACGACTTTGTAGAACACATTATTATTTACAAAAATCGTCGCGGCAGCGCATGTCTAACTATTATAGTTATACCGAAATAAGTGTTATTTTATTTTAAAAAATAAAACAACGACAAATATCGATGAAATTTTTGTTAAGGACCCGAGCGGAGCCGGAGTGGGTCGCTAGTAGTAAAATATGTTTATTGGAGGTCTCATAGGTAAACCCGTTACCTTTTTTTATTGGTCACGAGTTAACATCAATGAACATGTCGATAACGTAAAAATATTTTGTTTGTGAATATACATATCGACCTGCAATATTAATGTATGTTTTAAAAGCTTTCTTTTGTATTGCGACTTCTTTTTGCAAGAAATAGACAGAAACGATGTTTTTGCTAACTTATTCGTCTCACAATACGCTCTACCAAGAGTAATCATGGAATTGAAGAAAACAGAGGGAGTTACCACTACTACGGATGTATGGAGAGTTAGGTCATGACCTACATTATGAACTCACCTTGTGGTCGTGTTTGATTGCATTTGGTATCCCTTACATAACGCTCTATAAAATAGTTATCACGTCTCTATGGTGTTATCTATCTCCTTTTTCCTCTTTTTATTTTCGATCACTGCCTCCTCTTTCGGCTTATTCTAAATCTATAAATTTATAATGAGTATTCTTTCTATTCAATAAATTCGGTCTCAAAATCAATGACGTGCAGTTTATTTCACTGCCAAACCAAAACATATCGGACATACGTATCTTATGATTGATAGCCGAATAAACTATTGTTATGTAAGACTACTTTAAATACCGATTTTGCCCACTTCTGCTGTTAGCCTCGAGGAGTTATGCTAGCTTCACCGGACATGAGTAGGCGAGCTCACGGGGCTCAGTCTGGAGACTTGCTAGCTAGCTCTAGCAAGAGCAGTGTTTCGCTAAATCTACCACCGGAACTGAGTCGAGTTTCTATGTCTGAGATTCACTGGTAACTGTTTCTGTCGAAGATTTGCTGAGAACTGTCTGTTTCTATGATTTTTCTATGTCGGAGATCCGCTGAGAACTGTTTCTGTCGAATATCCACTGAGAACTGTGTTTTGCCTTTTTTTTTTTTCCTACCTAAGCTGGTAGCCTGGAGCGGCTATTCCAGCGTAACCGTAACTAGTAGGTGAGCTCACGGGGCTCAAACCTGACGACGATGCTAACACGAACCCTAGCAAGAGTCGTGCTTCGCAGAATCTACCACCGGATCGGAAACGCGACCTACTGAAAATATCCTACTAGAAACTCAGTGGGCTGTGTCTGTGAGTTAATTTTCACGGCGAACTCTTCATCGTATTCAACGGGTTCGACGAAACCGGTGACCGGTGCTGGAATGCCTAAAAGTACCGATAGTAGATC